ATAGGTTTGTTCCTCTAATTCTTCCTACCAATATGACCATGTTGCGAAAACAAGGTCAAACAACCTTTAATACGTACTCTTAAATTTTTTACTGCATATGCTTAGCTCATGACTCAAGCATTTTTCTATTGAATGATAAATGGAATATATGGACGAACTTTTATCGCATTTATGAATACCAAGATTATGTTACCTTTTGTTTGATTACCATCTTCTTTAGCTTTATAGTTTTGATTCGACTTCATTTTCGCAACTTTGCCGGATCGTCAGGGAGACCTCGTGGAACGCACTTAGTCCTGTGTCCCCTGCCATAGTATTCGTGATGGCATTGGACCATTGACTTGATACATTCACAAATGTACCGGCTATTTTTTACCCCGTAGTATCTTTGCCCTTATATTGTTAACTTTATTTAGTGCTCCCGTTATCTTTTATGCCTCTGATTCCATATTACCCCTAGAATCTGTTTTCTCTTATTTGCTGAAGCTTCCTTACCCATGTATTTGATTAAAATCTATCTATCTTTTTTATTCTGGTAACTTATTTATCACGACTGCTTCTAAGGCCTATACTTTAGGAATCACAACCTAGCTAGACTTGAGCAATCTAAATTTAGATTAAATACCTATAACATTTTTAGAATAGCCAGTATAACCCTTGCTTCTCTTTAATTTTCATTTAAGAAATTCGAGTTTTTGGCTTTTTCCCTTTTCTGGATAATCCTTCTTGTGTGTGCTCGTTATATGTATCTAGAATATCCTGTCTGGTGCGGTCTGGTGGTCTCCGGGTATGCTTCAAGACCTCATTCAGCAACATGCTCTTAACCTGCTTACATGTTTCAGCCTCACTGAATCTTCAATAGGTCTAATTTTCTTCAGGTTATCCATTTCTAATTGTGTTTTTTTTAATTGCATTCAGGTTATTTGCTCATCCATCATTTAAGTGATGACAATGATTTTTTCTTTATGCTTGAACTAACCGAGTTATTCATGCTCTTGGTTTAACTATATTTTTGTTGCCTCTCTTTTTTAGGTCTCCGTCCCCATTCTTGCATCATTTGTGGAAAAAATTTTGCCCGAAAATGTGACCTTCTCAGACATGCCAACTCAGTCCATCGAGGTGAGCTATACATGCAGATCTTGAGGATATGCCAATGCTTATTGATGATACCGCCTACTTTGTTCATTGTTGGCCTCCTGGGAAGGGTCTAAGTCTAGGTTGCGCCTACGACCACTCATTGGTACGTCTAATGGGTCAATGTGGCGTGTGATTTGCGCTCGTGAATTATCGCCCATCTGTATGACCTACAGGTAACGTCTGAGGCAAATTCCCTTAGCGTTACTAACTCTAATTCGTCTTGTCTAATATTTTACCTACTCATCTAATTCACGCTTGCTCTACTCTGCATCGAATCAGTCTTTCTGCACAGACGGGCGTACTTGCTTGTGTTCATGATGCCTTCTGCAAACGTGCATCTGAGACTATTCTTGTCTCCATTTACCAGCGCATACCTAAATATTGTATGCATACGTGTCGTTCGATTTGTGCTTGCGCCTCAAGCACACTAGACCTAGTTTCATCAATTCCTCCACCGGTCTTATCGCTTGCCTGTACGTTTATCTTGTATATATAAAATGCAACTTGTAAGTGCGTATGTGTATGTGATTAGCTAAGGCACTGCTGCTTGAGTGTCTTCATGTCTCAGCTCTACAGACTTTATGCATAAAATTCCTATTGGCCTGGCTTTCTGTTTAGCTCTCTCTGTGCTTAGGCCTCTTTGCCATACATGCACCACGTCACGCCTTGTTTACGCGGGTCGGTACAAGGTCTGGTGGCCCTTTTTCGCGCATATTTGCTATCGCTGCTGCCTGACTGCTTGTCTGTGCTGCCCAAGTTCTTGGGTCTCTTCGTTCTGTGTATGCCTGATGCTTGCATAGTCTTGGCAGCCTATTTGCTGCCATAGCCATAGACACTTCCAGTCCTTGGGTAGACGACCCAGTGTGCAGACATGGGACTTTTTCTTCTCCATTGTTCTGTCTCTATGTCTTGGCTGTCGGATCGTTAAGTTTACTCGGGCCTGCTCGACGAGGCAGCTGTTTTCTTGCCCTGGTGCACTAACTTTGTAGCCGTTCGCCCGGTATCTTTTAGTGCACACTGCTTCAATCAGTATAGCGCCAATGCTCTTGGCGCATCGCAGTGGCGCTAAGCCCTTTAGGCAGTCCGCCTCTCACCTCTGCTACCCTCTATGCTACCTATAGCTGGTCTCTGCTTGTCTCTGGTTCGGCCAGATAAGCTCGGCCGAGACATTTAAGATGTTTGTTGCCCTGATCGTGTTTGACACATTTGAGATACTTATGCATATGCCTATGCATGCCATAGGAGTTTTGTGCCTGCTATTTTATTTGTATTCCAGGCCACGCCGTCTGTGCTTGGTATGTAGGCGTCTCCATTTTCTGACAAACTGTCTTCTACTTATCTCTACAGATGCCGTTTTCTGTTTTTCTCTTTTGATATATGCAGCTATTAACGTGCGCATTGTTACGTTAGCCCTTTGACGATTGCTTTCTTTACCATCCTAAACACATTACTTATGCAGTGTGTTTGAACACTACTATAAAGAGCGTTGTATCATTTTTTAAAATTATTTGTGTCTACAATTGTATCTCGACACCATTTCACCATTCTTAATAATGTTGTGGGAGTTATCTATTGTTCATTGATTTCTTAATTGATTAATCATTTTTGGCATTCTACTAAATGTAATTTAATATGCATACCTAAAACACTTTTCTGAGAAGCCATATTTGCTTTTGGTCACTGGAACTTTATTCTTTTTTCGTTTCTCCTATTTGGAATGCTTCGTTAATTTAACTGATATTATATGGTCGCATTCATAGGATTACGAATTGCTGACTTGCACTTTTTTCATCATGATGCTGAGGAACTTATCGAATCTGCCAAAAACATGCGAGTCCGCCTATTATCACATTCAGCGAATGTTTTATAATTTATTCTTTTTGAGCACTTGAGTGTATTCTTCATCGTGGTAAAATTATTCAAAAACTATATTCGATTGCATCTTGATGCAGTTATTCATCAAATTTCATTCCATGATTCGTTTTATAAGAGCTAACTACTCTACTTTATTGTCATCTATCAAGTTTCGGTCCTGAATTCGACGGAAAAAAGCGTGGCTATCGGCATTATTACTGTCTATTTTTTATGAGTTTCTTACTATAAACGTATGGCTCATTTTTGATAGGCTCGTCGTTTTTGTCTACCCAATGGCTTATTTTTGGTTTTGAAGCCTCGGAATTGAATTTTGTTCGGTTATCTGGCTTTAGAAAAGCTAACATCGTCAGCTGGCAAAGCACCGGATACTGACTTTTTTAGAATACGATCTCGAAATGAATATGAGGTTATACAACTATTGCAAATATCTTTTATTTACTTAAAGTCTCAAAAGAGTTAGACTTTGCCTCTCATTCTGAGCATTTATTCTTCAAACCCGACGATAGTTTTGAGCCTATGTTGAATTACCGTGAACGAAACAGATTAAAAACTCTTCAACTATGATGCCTTTTACATATAGTACTGTCAGAATTCATAATTGTTTCTCAATGCAATTAAACTCCATGTGATTTATTTTTACCCTTCATTTTGTTTTTACTCATAATTTATTATTAATCTCTATCTATTTCCCTTTTATTTTTACTAGCCTCTGGGAATAATGTGTCTACTACCGCCACACCCAGCGTGATCACTACCATTATTGCACCAGCTGGCCACCAGACTTCTGGAACCCTGGGAACTGCCACGTCCCACCAACAGCAGCAGCAAGCGCAACAACAGCATCAACAGCATCAGCATCAATTGCTCCAGGCACAGCATCAACATCATCAGCACCAACAGCAACAGGCCCAACAACAGTTAACCCAGCATCATCTTCTCCAGCAGCAGCAACAACAGCAGCATGCTCTTCAGCAAAGTCAAAATACACTTAGCTTAAGTGAGGCTTTTACCAGATTCTACCACTTCATACTTATTTCACAAGCCGAATTAATCAAGTCTTACTTATCTATGCTTGATTTTGTGACATTTTTTAAATATAGCTGAATAAAAAGTGCTCAAAGTAAAATCTTCTAGATTCGTTATTTCACAGTTCCAGTGTGTTTTTCTCAAGAAGAAATCCCAAAATCGTGGGGACCCAGATATGATTATATATAATCGTTTGTTTCTTCTTTCCACACCAAGTCTAAGTAAAGTTTTGCATTGCAATCGTAAATACATATTCGCCTAGTCAACATTCCCACTTGTGATTTGGGAAAGGCATAGTCCGCCCTATGCTGCAATAGCCAATGTTGCCATTTATTCGAGTAGTAACGTAATGTCATGACGCGCACGATCTATTTTCGAATCTCATTGTTCGTACTTAGACCTATGTAGGGTCGAAGCTATAGTCCACCCCGGATGAGAAGTCCTTTTGGCAGGCAAGGCTAAGTGAAATTTCATGACACGGTAAAGCCTGTTCATGTCGCTGTGGTAAGATTCCATAATCACTATATTAATCACTGTGCGATCTATGATGAATGAGTTGCCATTTCAGAATTTCTACTAGTCTCGTAGCATGCTCACATCTAAAATTACGATAATTTTTTCAGGACCTCCTTCATATCTACTGCATAAAGAAGAATGAAGTAATTAAATCTTCTGTTCCTGATTAAGAACACTGCCCAAAATAATCAGATCTAGCTCCTCTTATATGTATAATAAAATACAAATCTATTTAAACAAGTGACTTCGATTTAACCCATTTTGCCTCTACCTTATTGGGTAAATCACAAATGAGCATAATGAATTTAATTTTGCTTATTTGTTCAAGCTAACAAATGATTTTACTCTTTTTAATTAAGTAATAAGTATATTTAAGATTAAATAATACAAGTTATTGTACATTCCTAATTTATGCCTTGTAAGCCGACCTTTGTGACACAAATCTATGCTTTCTTTAAATTTTTCATATACCATTCCTGTATCCATGTTCACATTTGCTGATGTTTTTTGCTCAAAGAAGGCCTTGGTGCGCTGTCTTTCGATCCGGATAGATCCGCACAATGAAATAAAGCACTAGCGAAATTCATCAACCTCTAAGTTAAGCATGATTGCCGGCTGAGTTTAACATAATTATAACCTCATTTTGCAAATCCATGACTTAGTCGGCTTATCCATCTTTCTCTAACTGTTTACAGACGATTGAAGTTGATCTTTACTTAATCAAACATCTGTTTTTCTAGTTGGCAGATCTGTAGGGTAATCAAACAAGGGGAACGCGTGTATTCAGTATATTTAAATCTATTTCTTTTGCAATTAATGTTCAAAAATCAGTTGAGGTTTTAGAGCCTTCTTCAGACCACAGGATAATCATAATAATTCCCTTCATTGATATTTATCTTCCTATCTGATTCCCGCCGCTAGCAAGATACAGCTCTCGCTTATTTTAATATTTACTATATGCAAATAAAATTAGGTTTTGAAAAGTATCTTGGTTTACAAGTGTTGAGCTTAATTCCATTAAGAGTTTTAGTGGTGAAGAAATTCGAAGGTCAATCCTACCAGAATATGACTGCTAATTCTTCTTAGCCATTTGCTGATTGGCTTTACTCCAATCTTGTTGTTAATTATTTCCCAAGAAGAGGTTGCCGTTCTCTAGCAGATTCGGCCTCCGAGTCTCTATTAGATGGAAGGAAGCTCAAAATCTTTATACGCTCATTTATTCTAAACAAGTTGCTAGTTATGTTGCTTAGTTCTTTCGATTTCATACCATGTAACTTACAAAAAATCCTCATTCTCTGTAAAAGCATACTTTTTAGGAAACTCTGATGCTCTGAACTTCTAATTTTTTGAAGATATAAAGACCAAGATGTTGTGGCCTCTGGTATGGTCGCAGTCCCCTTTCGATTTATAGAAGTGGGTTGACCTCGTTGTCGCAACTTGGTCTTGTTGTCAGGGCGACTTAGTAGACGCACCTAGTCTTCTGCCATAGTGGTTGTCATGATTCCCAGCATCAGACAGTGGACTTGGTACATTCTCAAACGTTTCGCCGGCATCGTGTTCGGCATCATCAGTAAGCTTTACCATTCTCCACACCAAGCTACGAACTCGTCAAAGAGACAAGGGAAGTCAATCTCTCGACAATCGTTCTTCCGAAAACGGTTACACTATCACTCCTCTTTCTGCCCTGACCTATCTATCTACTCTTTACCCTGTCATCCCACTGCTGCCATATCAAAACTTCTGACTTGTTTACATTCCACTCGTCAAAATATGTGCCATTTTGTGGCAAATCTGTGGCCTCATCACTTGCTTTTCACCCCGACCACCTTTCTTTCGATCGGCTGATCCGACTATGACCAAAAAGATAAGGAACGGATCTACGAGACAATGAGGAGATCCGGATTCGAGGGCTGAGTCGGATCAGCCGATCGAAAGAGAAGGGATCGGGGTGAATAGTAAGTGTGATGAGGCAACATTAGAATTGCCACAGAAGGGCACACATTTTGACGATTGGAATGTAAACAAGTGATAAGTTGTGATAGGGCGGGAGTTGGATAAGAGGATAAAGAGTAAATAGATAGGCCAGGACAGAAAGAAGAGTGATAGTGTAACCGTTTTAGGAAGAACGTTTGTCGAGGGATTGACTTCACTTGTCTCTTTGACGAGTTCGTAGCTTGGTGTGGAGAATGCCGACCACGATGCCGGCGAAACTTTTGAGAATGTACTAAGTCCCCTGTCTGATGCTGGGAATCACGACGACTACTATGGCAGACGAATTCGTACTAGGTGCGTTCTACTGAGTCACCCTGACAACAAGACCAAGTTGCGACAACGAGGTCAATCCATTTCTATTTTTTTGTCCTATAAATCTTTGGACTTGATTTAATTTTCAGATAATCTTTTATCTACTGATTTTTAGTTTCATCTTTTATCAACCAGATATAGTTAGGGGGTCCAAATACTCCAAAAAGAGCTCACTATACATTGTGTTAGTGTTTAATTTCTTTTTAAAAATGACATAATCTTGTTGCCGGAATCTTAACAGGTTTGCCAAACTCTTCTTTTTGTCATGTATAGCTGCTAAGTATACTATTTCATAGTATTGCGAAATATTATTTACTTAACTATCCTTACTTAACCTTTAATTTCGTTTTGAATCGTTTTTATATAAGATTCATAAATTGGCATTACTACAACCTAAGGAGTTGTGACTTGATTTGCAGCAATTTCCCAGTTCCTTATTGCGATCCGGATGAACCTGTGTTGGCCTTTCTTCTGTCAAGTTACAGACATCATCTGCATGAAACTATTTTATAGCTAAAATTACTACATATAAGGCAATAATTTTGGCTGGTTGCAATCCTACTTTTGTTTTCTTAATAAGGAATGCCATCGTATTTAATGAAAATCTGTATTCGCCCTACTTCGTTTAAGTTGATGAGAGACTGCTAGTTGAATTTTTCTACAATGGTATTAGTAGGCTTCCAGTTTCCTTTTAATTTCGCATAGCCTTGCTTTCCTAAAGGCATTTTCATCTTAATTGAACTGCACTTTCGATCTCGCTCAGGCCTCATCAGTGCCCCCAGAGGGACTAGAATCCGAAACCTTAACCACTACGATATACTGCCACAAAATACGAACG